ACCCAGCTCACAAACAGCTTGGGAAAAGCAGAGATTTGTCAGGTTTTCTTTTGAAATACTCCCCTGCACTGTGACTAAGCTAGTGGGCATTTATGAGAGGAACCAGTCAGAGTCCTCCTCCCCCTCCCTCTCCCCCTCCCTCCTCCCTTGGAACCACAAAGTTGTGACTGATCCTCTACCCAAGAGTGGCCCAAGAATGGCCTAGTACCCCTTAGGACACAGCTGAAATTCTGGTTGCTTACAAATAAGGTGTTTTTAAAATGTTGTCTTAAAGAAGTGCATGGGTCTGGGATGTAGCTGTTTTTAGAGTGTTTGCCTAACATGTTGGAAGCCCTGGGTTTGATACCCAGCATTGCATGGGTGATGGAGACATATGCTTACCATCCCACTACTGGGATGTTCAGATTTATCTTTTGCTATATAGAATTCAAGGCTAGCTTGGGCTATGTGAAACTCATCTCTATAGCAACAAACAGCAGGAAAAAAAGCTCACCAGGTGGGGTTGGCATTGCTTTGTATGTGTATGTGATATGTATGTGTGCTTGTGCCATGATGCATGTGTGGAGGTCTTAGAACAATCTCAAGTGCTGATCCTCATCTTCCATCTTGTGTGGGACAGGGTCTCTTGTTCACCACTGTGTGTACACCAGGCTAGCTGGCCCAAGAGCTTCCAGAGATTTCTTCTGTCACAACCTCCCATCTCACTGCAGAAGTGCTGGGATTACAGACTTGTGCTGCTGTCCCCAACTTTACATGAGTTTTAGAGATTGGAACTCATTCTTGTGCTGCAAGTGCTTAATCCACTGAGCCCCTTCCCCACCCCAGCACTACTGCTTGTCCCCCGGCCCTCAGAGCATTTTCCCATCCTAGTTGCCTCCAAGCTCAGTGAAACTGCTGTCTAGCCTGTGGCCATATGTCCCCAAGGCTCTTGGGGCAGTAGAGAGTGGCACCTTGGGTTTCTAAGAGAGGCCTGGCCACTCAGCAGTAAGTTCCAGGGCAGCTCATAGGTTTGGGACAAATCCTAGAAAAGACATCTGATTCCAGGCCAGGATTCTAGGGGAGGTGAATCTGGGAACAGTAGAGATCAGCCAAGAGTCCACCCACTTACCCTGGGAGTGTCCTTTGGATGATGCTGTGGAATCACCTACTATACTGATTAATACTGCTCCCACTTGGGAGTGTGGCTCTTTCCATAATGAGAAGCAAGTGTTCAGTTCTGGCCAGCAAAGAGTGGCATACTTCTGGGCTTGGACTTGTGCTCTTGGCTTCTGCCCTTCTCAGTGCTGGAGTATGTGAACATGGCTCCACCTCTGGGTATGACCCAACTTCCATCAGTGACTGACCACATGGGCCTCTTGCCTCTCATTGCAGACTTACAGCCAGCTGGCCCACCCTATCCAGCAGGCCAAGGCTCTGGGTCTCCAGTTCCACTCCAGAATCCTAGACATCAGCAATGTGGATGTAAGTCACCCCAAGGGAAGGGACGGTCAGAGTGAAGCACCAGCTGATATAGCCTGTAAAACAGCCAGGCCTGCTGGTTCCCAGTACTCAAGGTCTGCTCGGGCTACAGACTGAGTTCCAGGCTAATCTGGGTGACTTAATGACACTGTTTCAAAAGAAAAAGTAAGAAGAGGGCTGAGGTTATAGCTCAGTGGTAAGAGTTCTGGCCTAGCACATGTAAGACCCAGGTTTAATTCCTAGTACAACAGCAAACAAAAATATATGGCCTGCCTCACAGAGCTTTTCATATTTCTGTGGTTGGAGTATAAGAGATCCCCAGCTAAATGATGTGTCTTAGATTGGCTGATGTTTGGTTGGTTTTGGAGGGAAGTCTGAGGGGGATAGAGACTGATTCAAGGGCCTTGCCTATGGTGGGCAGTGCTCTACCAGTGAGCTACACTTTGACTGGCTCTCTCTCTCCAGGGTCTCATTCTGTAGCCTTGACTGGACTGGAACTTATTCAACTTATTACGTAGACCAGGCTGACCTCAAACTCATACCCATTGCCTCTGCCTCCTGAGTGCTTAGATTAAAGGCCTGGGTCACCATGCCTAGAGTTTTTTGTTTGTTTGGTTTTTTTTTTTTGAGTTTTTTGTTTGTTTGGTTTTAAATTCTTAATGGTACAAAAGTGATTATTGCATATTAGTGAATTTGGTTGAAACTATACTTCAGATTTTGTTTAAAATTCTGTCAAGGCTGAGGAAGATGGCTCTGTTCAGATAAGAGCACTTGCTGTAAAAGCAAGAGTTTAAAAAGCCAGGCAGGCATGGCTGCTCGTGCCTATGACCTATGCTCGTGCCTATGACTATGCTCGTGCATTTAGGTGGAAACAAGCAGACTCTGGGAGACTGCTGGCCAGCCAGCCTAGCTGGAATGTTGAGTGTAAGGTTCAATAAGAGACCCCCCTCTCAAAAACAAGGTGGAGTACGAGAGGGAAAGACACCTATTATCCTGCTCTGGTCTCTATCTGTGTGCACATATTAGCATACATACTACTCAGATACAAATGAAAAATAGCAAGCAGAATTCTATGCAGTGAGCCAGATATGGTGGCACACACCTATAATTCCAGCACTGTGGATGTTGAAATAGGAGGATCCCAAAGTTTAAGGACATTCTGGGCTAAATAATACAGCCATACTTTTTTTAAAAAAAAAATCTATATAATCACTTTATTATAAAATAGCTTGTGTTGACTGGATGTGATAATCCCAGCATTTGAAGGCTGAGGCAGTGGAATTCAGGGCCATTTATAACTATATAGTGAATTCGAGGCCAGCTTGGGCTACCCAAGATGTTCTATCAACATAGAAATAAGCTTTGCATTAGATAATCTTGTTCACGTGAAGGCCAACATACTTGTTAGAATGCATGTTATATTTGGTATTTTAGTGAGTTTTCTATGATATTTTCTGTTGGGGGAAGTTGTAGACAGGGTTTCTCTATGCAGCTCTGGCTGTCCTAGAACTCGTTCTGTAGACCAGACTGACCTCGCACTCACAGAGTTCGGCCTCTCCAGTGTTGGGATTAAAGGTGTGCCACCACTGTGCCTATTCAATGCTATCCTTAAGTGGGTTCATCAGGATGCCCTGCATCTTGCATCCAGGAGCACCTGTGCTGTTGGGCCCCTAGTGAGCATTGAGCCCTTGAGCCCACTGCAGTGCTGCTTCAGCTTCTGCAGCATGGCCTAACAGGCAGCTGAACTTCAGCCACCCAGACTTCTTTACTGGTGGGAGCTGCAGGCAAAGCAAAGTCAACTTCCTGCCCTCCCTCACCTCCAGGCCAGGAGCAGAGAAGTGCCACAGTTGAAGACCTGGTGTTGTCCATGAGAAGGAGTCTGTTGGAAAATCACTCCCCCAAAGTGGTGGAGGAGTACCATGCATTTAGCAGGGCAAGGTGTCAGGCCTCTTTCTCACAGGATGCAGCTTTGGGGCTTTTCGTCTCCAGGGTAGTGGGAGGGTATGCTATACTGAGGCCCATGCTTATGTGTTGCTTGCAGCTGGCCATGGGCAAGATAATGGAGCAGGGCCCTGTGCTGATCGTCACCTTTCAGGCCCAGTTGGTGATGGTGATCAAGAACCCCAAAGGCGAGGTTGTTGAGGGTGACCCGGTGAGTGGGGAATTGAGGGAATGGAGGTTTGGGACAGCTTCTCACACAGAAAGCCCTATGCATACCTGCCCAGCATAGACCCCACCCAGCTTGGAGCCAGACGGGTTCTGAAGTTGGAGAGAAACAACTAGTAGTTGGGATCTTTTTGAAGTCAGAGGATCCACCATCTTGTCTGAGCAGGGACCAGAGCCAAAAGCCCCAGGCATCCCTCCCTGGCCCCTCCTAGAGCCTTCCTTGCCTCGCTCGGAAGCCCCCCTGTATACCCATCAAGCCTGGCCCCTCACTCTGCTGGGTCTCCACAGGACAAGGTGCTACGCATGCTGTACGTGTGGGCACTCTGCAGAGACCAGCAGGAGCTCAACCCTTATGCTGCCTGGCGCCTTCTGGACATTTCAGCCTCCAGCACAGAACAGATCCTCTGAGGGCAGCCGTGGTGTCTAGGCAGCTCCAGAGCTAGACCATCGTGGGACAGATACACAGGCTCCATGTGGTACCTTGGCACAAGACCGACAAGACTATGAATGGCCTCTGCCCCAAGTTCTTCAGGGCAGTTGTGAAATCACTGGACAAGGAAAAGGCCGGAGGTGCCTGGCAGGGTTGGGAAGTACCCCAGAATGCCACAGGGGACTGCTGGCAGTGTCACAAAGCCCCAGCCCAGGGACTCCTGTGGTCAGTGGGATGAGGCCTGGCCTGCTGTTCTAAGTAGTCCACTGGCATGGCCTGCCAAGCCGCTTTAGTTTTTTTTTTTTTTTTTTTTAATCAATGCTCTTCCTGTACATAAGCCTAAGATCTGGACATAATAAAACACCAAAGTGCAGAAGAGGCTTTCGAGCGGTCTGAAGTGTATGTCTCTTCTGGGAAGGCTGGGACTGAGAGCCTGTGATAGACCTTCAAGGTCAGTGGAGGATTATAGCTAGATAGGGTGCCGCCTTCTCAGGCCAGGACCCTGTCCTCGTGTGGAGAGGAATAACCACCCAAGCTATCTGGTCTCTGTTGAACTGAGGGCTCACTGAGACTGAGTATCTTAAACACTAATAGATGGTCGTACCTGGGCGCATCGGGATTCTTGTAAAACAGACTGGGATGAGGGGTCGGTCGGGAAGAATAGAGATACAGAGGTCAGGGTGAGACGTCCCCGTAGTGGAGGCTAGCAACTACCCACGCCCTGGTGAGGTCTTCAGTGCCCTGGGATCTGGATCTGGAGCTTGGGCTGTCTCCACAGGCAGTAGTGGTGAAAAGGTCCAGTCTCCCTATAGGCAGACCGGGGCGGGGTCACAAGCCCAGGCGTCGCTCCCAGTACATCCTCCACCCCTCACGGCCCCGCCCCCGTCGCCATGGGAACAGCCGCGGCGGCCCGGCAGGCGCGCGCCTCCTTCCTCCCTCGGTCTCCACAGCTTCAGGGGCGGGTGGGGTGGGCTGAGCCGGGGCTGCTACAGCCTCCGCCACTACCGCCGCCACCCGGGGAAGACCAGAGCAGAGCAGCGCAGGAGTTCCCGGAGAGAGAGGGGCTGCGGGGCGGCCGGTCCCCGTCTAGGACCAAGGGTGAGGGGGGCGCGCTGTGGCTGGGGAGGCGGCAACGGGTGGGGGAGGGGGTCTTGGGCTGAGGATGGAGAACAAAGGGAGCGGGGTGGGGACCAGTTTAAACCGTGCTGCTCGGGTCTCTGGCCCAGCGCGTTCGCACCTGTTGTGCGCGAACTGGGCGGATCTGAGTAGCCCTGTCCTGGCTCTCAGCGACCCCACCTGCACGAACCGTTAGAGTTGGGTCCAGGAGTGACTGTAGCGGCAGAGCACACAGGCTGGGCATGGGCGTAGCCCGGAGACGGCAGCACGAACAGGGACGATGTTGCAGGATACTGCAAAGGGGCCAAGGGGCCACTCCAGAAGGGGTGGATGGAGGTGCAGAGAGGGCGTAGCCTCATCCCCGCGGACCCCGGGGTGGGCACCCCTCTCTCCGCAGGGCGCGCGGCGATGTGAGCTATGAGCGCGGCGTGGACACTGTCACCGGAGCCACTGCCGCCATCGACGGGGCCCCCGGTGGGCGCGGGCCTGGACGTCGAACAACGCACGGTGTTTGCCTTCGTGCTCTGCCTGCTCGTGGTGTTGGTTCTGTTGATGGTGCGCTGTGTGCGCATACTGCTAGACCCCTATAGCCGGATGCCTGCCTCGTCCTGGACCGACCACAAGGAGGCGCTCGAACGAGGGCAGTTCGACTATGCGTTGGTGTGAGGGGGCACCGAATCCCGGGCCGGTTCTCTGTGAGATCCAGAGAGGGCCGGCCCGGGGGAGGAATGCCACCAGCCTGGACTGCACTCAGTATTGTGCCCCAGATGCCCTAGCCCGGAGTTGAAGGCGTTTGGAGAAATCCAGTCCTTACCCCCTAAGCCACCCATCTCCCTTCCTGGCCGGGCCAGAACCCCACCTGGTGCCTTTATCTGCCCCGACCCCTTCTCTCTGCACTCTCATTCTCACTGCTGATCACTCAACTCTGTATCCCTACTGGGCAAATCATCCCGCACCAACCTCAGCCTTCCCCAGGTACCAGGCATGAATGTTACGTCCTTTCCTAGGAGTGTGGACTCCTCTATCCCCTTCTGTCCCCTGTTGTGACCATCGCCAATTTCAATGCGCTCCTTGAGTTCTGGCCCTGGCAGGCAGGCTCACTTCGGCTCACTATGGATGCTGCCTACCTACAAAGCATGGTACAGCCTGCCCTAGAGACAGACCCCGGAACCCCACTTGCTACCGTGTCAAGAATGTCTGGCACTTTATGTGCACAAGGAGTACAAGCAGGCTCATCCCCACTCCAGCCCTAACCCCAGACCTAGCCCCAGCCCCAGCACAGGTTAGAGTGCCTTTCCTCTGCCTCCCCCTCCCAACTCCCATGTCCCCGTGCCCTCCTCTTGCCTTTTCACTCCTCCCTGCTTCTGAACAATGGAGATGAAAATAAAGCTGTTATTGAGCGCTTACTGCATGCCCAGCAGAGTGCTAAGTTAGCCTGTCCTGTTCTTAACCTTTTTGCTTCCGAGAACTTGTGAGAAAACCAAGCCCCTGTTAGGATCCCCATTCTATGGGACAGAAGACCAAGCTGCTAGAATGACTTGCCTCCAGCAAGTCTTTCCTTGATCTGGAATTAGAAGCCAGATCTTCTGTTTTAACTGCTGCCTAGTCCTGTGAATACCCAATTTCATGCACGACCTTTCAGTAGCTTTAGAGGTGGTGGGGAGCCAACAGTCATCCATCCCTCTAGCTCATAGCATAGTTAAGACACCCCACACACATACATACTCTTTTCCCCTTGACCTAGGGAGTCACTGAGGACTATGGGAAACCCAACCTGCAGCCCCCACACTCCTGAACGTGATGCCTTCTGTTCCCACCATCAGGTGTGCCTCAGAACCTGTGGGTTTGGCTTTGTGGGGCTGTGACCATGGAGTGGGCTGGCTAGGCTCCATAGTCTGCCTGGGAGCTGTGTTGTGAGCGTCAGGGAGCCGTGTGCAATGTGTGTGGGGAGAACTGAGCCTTTCTATAAAAGGAAAGCCATGCGAAGGCACAGCTCAGGGAACAGAAATTTTACTCACTCCCAGACAACTCGTTAGGCTTGGGGGAGGGTGCTATCATGCTAGGGCACCTAGCTCCCCAGGCCTGTCCTGTACTCCCTACTCACAGGGCAGTTAGAGCTTATGGTGGGAAGCCCAAGAGCACAAAGATTCAACTTCAACTCCAATCACTTCCCCCAGCTCTGTGACCCTCAGTTCTGCCTCCCTCCTCCCTTTATTCCTAAGGGTAGTTGAGGCTCCTAGGCCACTTGAAGGGACACTCCCTTCTTCCTCCAACCCCGACCTCTTACCTCTCTGGAACCAGGGCTTTGTTCCATCCATCTGGCTGGCCACACTGCCAGCTTCAGACATCTGTATCATTGCTTTGCTCTGAAACCTTGTCCCTAATACCTGTCCTGCATGAGATCAACCCAGCCTTCCTCTTCCACCCATTTGTCAAAGAACCACCTCCACACAGTCACTAAGGAGCTCCTTATGGCCAAACTAAGGTCACTCTAGATAACATCTTTTTAAAATTATTGTTTGTGTGCATGATGTGAGTGGGCGTATGAACTATAGCGTGTGCATTCAGACGATTTTCAGGAATTGGTTTTTTCACCTTTACAGGAATTCAAAGAATTAATCTCAGGTTGTCAGGCTGCATACCAAACACTATGAACTATCTTGGTATAGTACCAAGTATATACTTGGTATAGTATCAAGGGTATGATAGTACCCTTGGAACTATCTCACCAGCTCGGGCACTAGCTTTTGCTAGGGATAGTACCCTCTTCCCTGGCATCTTGCTCCAGCTCCTAAACTGTCATTTTAGAGCCCTTGATCCCATTTTTGTCACAAGGCAAAGAGCATACATAGTTAGTTACTAAGATGACAGCTTTATTGAGAGTTACAGGACACCCCAGGAAAGGGTGAAGTGTATGGTGGTCAGTTGAGGTGGGGGGATCCAAATGCAAGCCCAGGTTCAGGAGAGCATATCCATGAAACAGACGATGCTGTTGTGGTACCCACAGCAGACAACAAGGCACAGCTGGGCTAGGAATTCTGCCTTTGTGCAGAGTTCCTTATCTCCATTCATTACAATTGCACTTTCCTTTCTGAGGCTGCTGGTGGATGCAATATCTGAAGACTTAGCCTGTGGCTGGACACCATCTCAGGGACTTCCACAATCATTCTCATGGCCACCCAGTACTATGGGTGTTGGACTGAAGCTCCAAGCAAAGTCAGCATATCTGATCTTCTGTATCCCTCACCTCGCAGGGGTGGGCACCTGGCCCAATAGCTCCAGGGGTACCAGGAATGGGTTCAATGGGCAGATCCCAACTGCTTGCCAGGCCGGCCTCTGTTCTATGGGCTCAGAGGCCTGAGGACTGGCTCGGTCAGGCTCCTCAGGCTCCTCGGGCTCCTTGGAGCCCGTCTCTCTGTCTTCATTCCCCAGCCTGGCGCTCTTCCCACTAGGGAGAGAGGTCTGGGGGGCCATCAGTCGAGCATAGGTTTTGGTCATATGTTCCACCAGGGCTGTGCAAGGCAGACGGGACAGCTCTTCTGGAAGTGACATGATCAGGTCAAGGACCACAGCTGACTCTGATAGAAGGAAAGGGGAAGAATGAGAGGACAAGGTTTGACCCTGCACCCCAAGCTCCCGCCCCATTATAGCCCCTCTCCTCCCCAGTTCCTCTTACCAGCTGCTGAGAGCTCAGGGCCATGGCCATTTCTGGAGGAGAAGGACAGATATTTGTAGATCTTCTCAAAGTCCACAGCGAAGTCTTTCTCTGTGGAGGGGCCAGCCAGGGATTTGGTTGGGGTATCAGAGACAGTGACCTCAGAGGCAAGGCCAGGGGTCTCAGGGTTGGAATCAGAGGCCTTAGGGACAGGAACAGAGGTCTCAGGAGTGGAGTTAGCAGCTACAGGGGCAGACCCAGAGGCTTCAAGGCCAGGATTCTTCTGCCCTCCTTGGGCACTCAAGAACAGCAGTGGCTTTCCACAGGCCTTTGTGGGCTTGCTTGGCTTGGAGTGCAGAAGGCTGATCGGTTCTGCAGCAGCAATGGTGAGCACCTAAGCAGCAAGGGAAGTGGGAAGGCCTTCATCTTCCATTGCCCTGCTAGGCTAGAATAAATCCTCCACCTCTACCCACTCGCCAAATCCCCCTGGCGATTCTGAGGGTGACCCATCCTAGAGATGGCCTTAGACACTGTGGCTCAAGCATCGGTGTTCTCACGGGAGTCACTGGGTGTGGCAACAGGAAAGGCCCAGGATCCAGAGCTACATTTTTTTTTTTAACTTTCCTTTTTGGGTAGGGGCAGGAGAAGCCTGGAACTCACTGGCAATTCTCTACTCCTTCAAATTTGGAGATTATATACAAACACCATTGCTTGACTAAACCCAGTGGCTTTCTATCACTGGGCCATACCCACCCGAGTCCTGTAATAAATGCTCTTGACCTGCCAAGGGTCAGCAGGTGTACCTGGGAGAAAGCTGCAGTCAGGGCTTCCTCCAGCGGGCCTGTTAATTTCTCAGCAAGATCCATCCATACCTGGTGAAGCCAGCAGATACATGGTCAGTCTAGGGACCAGCCCCCAGGAGTCTTTCAAGCTTTGCCCTTCCTTGAATTCCTCTTACCAGGTTATCCTCCCTCCTTCAGGGGTCAGCCTTGGGCAACCCTCGCCTTACCCTCCTGCCTTACCTCTATGGGGGCTGGGAGCTGAGCTTCTTGCCGCCTTAGACCCTCTGGGCCACCTGGGTGCACCTTTCGAATGGCTTCCCGAACCACACGGCCTTTGAGCTGCTGGATAAATCGGCAGATCTGGGGAGGAGGACAAGCTTTCTGTGAGCTCAGAAATAGAGGCAAGACCAGTCTATTGCCTTGCTTATTTCAGGAACTGCTACTGTTCCCTATCCCAGACCAGCCCAATTGCTGCACATTCCCGAAACTACTGGGACTCAAGCCAAGGCTCCGGAGTATGAACAGCTATCCTAATGAAAATGTAAAAGCCAGGTCTATTCTTGAGAACTCCTTCCTGGGGCTACAGCTTGCTCTGATAATGAGAACTACCCTATTCACTTCCACTCCACCCCATTTCCTGAACTCTCATGTCATACTAACTTTGGTTCTGTCCATCTTCACTTTTTTTGTTTGGTTGATTTATATAGCACTGGCTGTCCTGGAATTATGTAGACCGGGCTAGCCTTGAACTCAGAGGTCTAGCTCCGCTCCACTCAGCCCTTTGATTTCTCCCACCCACACAAGTCTCCTCTCAGTATCTCCTTCCTCCCACTCCCTCCCTCCCTCCCTCCCTCCCTCCCTCCCTCTGTCTCTCTCTCTCCCCCACTCTCTCTCTCCATTCCTCCCTCCCTCTTCTCCTCTCCTCTCTTCTCCCCCTCCCCGCCCTCTCCCTTTTCGAGACACAGTTTCTCTGAGTAGCCCTGGCTGTACTAGAACTAGCTCCGTAGACTAGGCTGACCTCGAATTTACAGAGATGCTCGTGCCTCTGCCTGCCTAGTGCTGGGATTAAAGGCGTACACCACCACCACTCAGCAGCTCCACTGTTTTTGTTTCACTTACGTACAGACCACAATCCAGGAGCGTGCCATCCGAGATCTATCCCTAAGCTCCCCTCACCCTAAGTTTCACCGCGCCTCGTTAACAGACTCCATGGGTACACCTAGGTCGGCTCCAAAGCGCCACCATAACCCCGCCCCAAACTCCACCCTCGGCACCGCCCTAAGTTCCACCCCCCCCCGCGCCCGGCAAAAAAAAAAAAAAAAAGCCCCCCGGCCCCGCTAGGGCTCAGCCAGGCCACCCGGCTCCCTGGCCCAGCCCCCAGCCCCGGGACACCACCTCGGCCTCACTGCGGCCTCGCAGCTCCTTAGCCAGCTCCGCAGCGTCTGGCTCCGGCTGGTCCCGCCGAGCCTGAAGAAGTCTCAGTAGATGTCGCATCTCGCGGGGGCTCCAAGCCGTGGGCCCGACAGCCTCACTTAGGTAGCGGGCCGGTACCTTCCGCTGTCGCTGCGGTGGCTTCATGCCGGAACTCTAGAGCGCCTTTTCTTGGTGGGCGGGGCTACGGAGGCCGCGAAGGTCTGAAAAAGCGCTACGCGGAAGACTTAGCAGATGGGGGCGTGGCTCGCGTTTGTCAGCTGAAGGACTGGCTCTGGAGGAGAATCTCTGAATTTTATTTGCGTTTTATATCACTCATGAGCTGGAGTAAAAACTTTAGACCCTATATTCCTGAGCCAACCCACGAAATAAGTACTGTGTGCTTTGCTTTTCATAGAGAAGTGGGCTGTTGCCCTAAAAAACCTGGGCTTGTCCTTTGTGAGGCAGGGAAGCCCTGGTGGCCTGGATATCGATATTCAGACAGGCTGACCTCAGACTCATGGAGCTCTTCCCGAATGCTGGATTTAAAAGCATACACCTCTACACCTGGCTCACTTGCTGTTCTTGTAGATGACGTGAGTTTGATTCCTAGCACCAACCAATTGTAGTTCCAAGGGATCCGACGCCCTCTTCCGACCTCCCCAAGCACCAGGTACGCATATGGTGCGCATACATACATACAGACAAAACACTTGCACACAGAAATCTAAACAAACAAACCAACCCTGGTTTGCCAGGAGTAATGAGAAGTAATAAGTAATCCCAGCATTTGGGAGGCTGAGACAGGAAGACCATTGAGTTTGTGGTTAGCTTGGGCTGCCTAGTGAGCGCCTAGCTTGAAAAAAAACAAGTCTGGGTTATGGGGGTAGATAGCCCTGGAGACTTTGGTAAGATTGTTTGGTATTGCTGAGCCTCCGTTTCCTCATTGGTAAACTAGATCTGGAAATTCCATTGTTGCTTAAGTGCAGAGGAGGGGGGAGTTTGAGCAGGGGAAAAGAGAGGTACACAGAGACCTGAATGAAGGTAGGGTCTGGGGATTGGAGTAAAGAGCAAAGGTCCAACCTGGGGAAGAGCGAAGGAGCAAGTGAGCCCTTGGAGTAGAGGATGAAAGCAGAATTTAATTTAAACTTAAGCTGGCCAAGTTTGGGTGTTATTTTCTGTTCCAGGCAAATGGCCCCTGACTCTCCCTGGGTGTATGTGTTCATGGGGATTGGAGTCACACCTCTTCAATCTAAGTCTTTCCCAGCCATAAATATCCCCAAGTTCTGGTCCCAAGGCACAGCCTGGAGCCTCCCTTTCCTGCCCTCCCTGCCCCTATCCGTGGGAGCATATTGATTACACTGAACGTTAGCAGGCAGGTCCGCAATTTATTTTGAACCAGGGGAGTAAAGATGAGAAGGGCGTGATGGAGGAGAGACGTGCAGAAGTCCTCCCAAAAGGTTCTGAATCCATGACTGGGTGCATCGGAGGACTTCACCGCGTTGTGGCATCTCTAGAGGAGGCAGAGGCTCAGCATGGGAGATCACCTCTCGGGTCACAACATTTTCCCAGCAGACATTGGCTTCTTCCATCAGTCTATGCACCGGTGTGAGACTAGGAACTGTGTTTTATCCCTAACTCTTACCTAGTGCCTGTTCAAGAACTGCTGGTAACCCCATGCCCCACATTCAATTTCCAGCTCCACCTTGACAAGTTACTTAGCCTCATAAAAAGTGCCGTGTTTTGTTGTTGTTGTTGTTGTTGTTTTAAAGAAAATCTCTGATGGAAACGGTAAAAGTAGCCGCCTGAAGGTTGTTCAAAAGACTAAATGAATATTCAAACTATTTGGAGCCCTGTGAGTAAGGGCTGTGAAGGACCCTTACCATCACCATCTCCTAGCTCTTGCTTCAGATCTTGGCACCCTGTGCTTACCTGCCTACGAGGGCCTCTGGAGCTGGGGGCCGCTGGGCGAAGCTCTAAGAGGCTGGCCGGGGGCTGGAGGTGCTGAAAGAAGAAGCGGGCTAGGATAGGGGTTGCTTGTGAGCTGTGCCAGGGTAAGCGCGCCCCCTGGTGGGAGCTGCAGCAGGTATACTAGCCCTGAGGGCCAGATCCGAGAGAGAAGTTTTAGGGCGCACGGGATATATGGGGGTGGGGTGATGTATGAGGGAGTAGGCTGTCCGTACGTGTGGAAATAGATGTGGGGTTCTGGCGGGACAGAAGTCGGTACCTGAGTGCGCGCAGACGAGACCGAGCCCTGCAGCCAGCGCAGCACCCAGCACGAATGCCGCCAACACTAACGCCACCACTGGTGCGGGCTCCAAGGCTGCAGCGGCTGGAGCGGACGGCTCGGGGCGCACGGCCCTGCCTGGGATGCTCTTGGACGGCCCTAAGGGGATGTGCACAAGGCTGAGACCAGGCCCTGGACCTAGTTGTGTTTACCACCCGAGTTCCAGGGCCGCTTTCGAGCTTACTAGGGGGCGGACGAGGTACTGTGACCACGATGGGCTGCGTCAGAGTGTGCAGGAGCGGGCTGTCGGCACCAAGGCTCTCACCGCTGCCAGTGCATGCCTCATCCTGAGGCAGACACTGGGTTGGGAGGGAAGAAACCAAACGTCAGGGCTTTGGTGATTCTGGGTCTGGTCCCCCAGAGCTCCTAAGGTGGACTTAAACTTCCAACTTTCCACTAGAGCTAGGAGGTCACCACAGGACTCCTGGGCCCAAGCCCTAAACAGAGAAGTGGTTTCAGCCCTAGAGCACCCCATATGCCAGTCGCTAGGTCCCAAGTGAGGCACACAAATTAGGGGTTTGGACGTGTCAGTTTTCTGCATCCAGTCTTCCAGCCCTACAAGAACTCCAGGTTACCACCCAAGGATCCCAGAGCCTAAGGCTGTGTTATCTTCTGTCTCCTGGGGAGTCCCCATGCAGGTAGATCCGTGAGGGGTAGCTCTGTATCTAAGAGGAACCCAGACCATAAAGCACTCTGCCTCCCAGGTGCCTAAACCTGGTAGAGTTCTTCCCTCAGCGGCCAGAACCGCTTGCGACTAACTACAGTCTTCCTCAGGTGCTGAGATTACTGTTGCTGCAAGCGCACCTGCGAAGGTGGGGTCAGAGGCGTCTGTGTCTGGCGGACAGCCCGGTGGCGCTTGCTGCGACGGCAACGGCTTATCTGGCAGTGCAAGAACTGCACTGAGGCGTTAAATACCGGGCGCAGGCGGAAGCTGAAGCGTGCAGGGTGAGCAGCATCCGGGTGTGGAGGTGGTGAGAAGCTGACAGAGGCATCGGCCGGGCAGCCCCCACGTAGAAGCACCAGAGCAGGCCCCAGGGCCGGGCGTGAGGAAGGCGTTAGGGAGCAGCGATGCAGGGCCAGGCCCCATCTCGGTGAAGGACGGGCCAGAGCCGCCTGAGGGACCAACGCGCCATCAAGGTCGACCGGTCCCCATTTATCCCCACCCACCCTCGGTGTTTCAGGCGCCCGCACCTGCACAAACACATGGCTGTCGGCTGGAACCTCCAGTGGTCCAGTGCGGCGAGGGAATGAATCCTCTGTGTCTGATAAATCCAGACTGAAAAGGGGTCTGCGCAGCCAGGGGCCAGGTGCCCCAGGGAACGGGAGTGCTGAAATGGAGCACAGAGCAAGGAGGACGCATTCCTTCTAGAGGAGGGTTTCCACTTCCAGCCCTTGCCTCTCTTGGAATAGTAACGCATTACAGGTGGTCTTTTTATCCCTGCTCAGCTGTGTGCCAAATTCTCTCCAGTTACTACCATGTACTCCCTAGTGATATCACTGTCTAGTAGTCGAAACCACACACAAAGCTGTGCTCCTTCCTTTTCTGACCTCTTTTGCCACCTGCAGACTAGGGATGGGGATTTGGTGACCCACGGGGTTGACCAGCATCTGCATTGGATGGAGTTCACATGGATAAGAGCAAGTCGGGGTTCTTTGTCCAGTTCAGGTTGCTCTAAGTCTTGGAGCAAGAGTCTTGTCTTAGTGTCTAAGAGATCCATTATGACCTACTGACCACTAGGGAGAGGTAGGTGCTGGCATCTGCTGTGTGAGGAGGGCACCCTCCCTAGAAGGCAGAGCCTCAGTCCAGACAGGCAACTGGAATGAGCATTTCTGTTCAGTAGAGAACCAAGACCCCAGACAAATGGAGGAGTGCACCAACAGGTGATGGTGGATGGTCTCTTATCTTGTGCTCACCCAGGCTTGCACTTCTGTGCACACTCTAGCATGGTCTACACAGGCAAATGACTGCCGTCAAGTGGCAGTTAGCTGGGGGGGGGGGGGGGGGGGGCGGGCAGTGTCTCAAGGATGATTCGCAGGCCTGGCCCCATTCCCACAGCCCTTGCCATCACTTGGTTGTTGAGAACTTTGAGAAACCTGGTAGAGGGGCTAGCTGGGGGAAAGACAAGGGAATGACACCACCACCACCCCAACACACCCAGGTGCAAAACTAAGTTGAGAAGGAGCAATAGGGAAGTGGGACATGATGCCCCCGCCCCCTGTGCCAGCCTCTACATACCAAGTGGTTCATTGAGCACAGTGGCGGTCCCAGGGAGCAGGGCCAGAAGCAGGAGTGTGGTGCCCACCATGGTGGTCTATCCAGGCTGGAATGCTCCAGGCCAGCAGCAGGTACCTGGTTGGGCTGTACTCAGCCCTGTAGGTGTGGGTAGGCAGCCCTGGCCTTGGTGAGTCTGCCACCCTGGGAAGCAGGGAGCGGGGGCGGAGGATGCAGGGGCTGACATCCGAGCCCATGCTCAAGGCCTGCGCGGATAAGGACTTCTTGGTGTGCTGAAGTTTCTAGGAAAAGGGGGCCCCTCAACAAAGCAGCTTGATACCCTAAGTCACTCCAATCACCTCCCACCCAGCTCTAGCCCTGATTGTTTCTCACGAATGCAGTGTTTAGCTGCACACTAAAAGCCCAACTCCCAGCCCCTTCCCGCATCTCTATAAATTCTACCATTCTTAGGACACCACACTCAGAAGAAAAGGGAAGGGTTTTATTCTCAAGCGCTAAGGATTTACAAACAAGGGTATTTTGTTTTAAAAAGGGAGAGGGCAACACTGGTGGCCTGAGGAAGAGTCCATAGGTCAGAGGGTAGGACCAGGCCACTCCAGGTCCCTACCTGCCCGACACCCACTCTGCCTGGGCCAGAGGGATGGCTGGTGACAGAGGGAAGGATTTTGGAGAGGTGGGGAAGTGGGAGACTCCCCCAGGCTCCCACTTAACACTGGAGGGGAATGGACACAGACAGACAGAGAGACACACACAGAAAATAAAGTTAAATAAAAATAAAACCATGCGGCCCAGTCTTGGGCCTGTGCTGGTCCAAGGACCAGCCAAGTGACCTAACTACCCATGAAGGCTGCCCATGCTGGTAGCTAGCCTCAGAATGGTAAGGGTGGGGGCCAGGCTTGTTATCCTACCCCTACTTCACTCCACCTCCCCACATAAGGGATAAGGAGAGAGGGTGCCCTGCCCAGGCAGAGCAGATGACTTCTATTGCAATTTAACCATGCGGCGTTGTGTGAATAGGATGAAGATGAGTCAATAGGATAGTTAAGAGCCACAGTGTCACCTAAGCCTACAGTTGCGTCATCAGCTACATCCAGCAAGGTTTCTCAGCTTTGGTGCTGGGTTTTGTTTATGGTTTTTAAAGTATTTTTTGTTTTGTTCTGTTCTATTGTTCTCTTGTCCACTTGATTTGCATGCATCACCAACAAAAAGGAAACATACCCCACCCTGTCCTGGCCATTGCAGAACCATGGGACAGACACCTGGCCCACTCTAGGCCACACGCTGGGTTGGAGCTGGTCAGCTCTAGGTGAGCTAAGGGAGGATGCTCAGAGCATAACGGGAGGAGGTCACATCACATGCCAATACCCTGGCCTCACTTACACTCAAGCCTGTCCATCTCGTCCCTGACACACATGCGCAGACCTCCACATCTACTACCTTAACTCTCAATCCCTGACTTCTTTGGAACCCCTCCTTCTGCCCCTCGGCATCACTCCTGTCATTGATTCCCTCCAGTTCGCTCCCTGCTTCTTGCTGTTCTCCACTGCACCCCTGGAACACCTTTCCTGAAGGCCTCTGTGTGGCCGAGGCCCCCTGGTCTCCCTCTGCACCACCTGAGCTCTTCTACTCAGCCCCAGGCTGTCAGCAGGCCCCAGCCCCATGTGAGGGTCCCCCAGTGAAGCCTGGTCTCTCTTATGCCAGAACTGACAAAGAGCAGCAAGCAATCCAACCCCCCAATGCCTGAGGGCAATGGAGAGGAGGGGGCCCACCACAAGCAGCTAAACATTACTTTGGTAAAAGTTTCTGAAGGTACCGACACACCCCATGAGGACAAGCCCCCCTCCCACACCCTACCAAGTACAATAAAATACAATAAACTCCAAAAAGGACCCCCTGAGATCAAAGAGAGAGAGACAGACAGACACAGAGACAGCAACCCATTTGGCTGCAGTCACAATGCCCACAAAGCTATCCTAGGGCAAGGACTTGAGGAGGCCTGGGTGGACCTGGGGCTTCCAATAAGGGGTAGGAGCGGCTGGGCCCAGGCTTAGGCTAGGAGAGAGGCAGAGGCTTGGAGGGAGACAGGAAACCAGAAAGGGACAGAGCTAGAGAGGAAAGGGAGAGGGGAAAATGGAGAGCAAGCATGTGTGAGAGAAGGTGGAGGGAACAGACACTGGGAGTGTGGGGGAAAGGGACAGGGGCATTCTCTTTGCCCCAGGGGCCACCCCAGCCCATAGGTTATGATTGAATAAATACCGAGTTTGCTCATGGCCTGCTGTCTTCCATTCACAGTGTCTGTCGGGGTGGGGTGGGGTTCGCATAGTTGGCTGACCCCAGAGTGGGAAGAATTAGGGACCAGCATGCCCGTCTGTCCATAGCTGGTGGGTAGGGAGTCAGAGGTGGATGGGTACCCCCTACTTTCTGTCCTCAGCCCTTGGCAGCCGTCCAGGTCCCAGGTCCCCTGATGGGCAGCTGGATTGGCCAGGTGGGAAGGGGGGCCTGTGGCCATGCCCCTGGGCCCCTATGGGGCTGGCCGCTGCCGTGAGGCTACCTGAAGAAGGGCAGGTGGTGTTGGCTCAGGACTCCACTAGTCCTTGGAGACTCGGTCTTTGCCATGATGTCCTTGAACCAGGATGCCACATCCACCTCGAGTGTCTCATAGTGCTTGATGAAGCTGTGTTCCTGTAGGCCCAAGAGTTAGCTTAGGATGAGGAATCAGCCCTCCTGGTCCTGCAACTGAGGCCGGGAGGACTTCACATGTGGCGGGAGTTAGGGGCTAGGTACTCACAAGTAGCTTATTATACTTTGGTCTCTTCCTGTGATCTTTAGTAAGGCTGGACGAAGAGCAGGGAGAGAAGAGAAATGAGAGTCAGGGAGGTGGAGCCTGGCTGTGCCTGGATGCGCACCTGTGCTCAGGCCCTCCCCAGTGAGAGGGGGGTCTTCCAGATCAGCCAGAAGCAGCTGCTCACAGCCAGGTTCCACCAGGCTGGGGATCCACAAAGTCTCCTGGCCCAGGGTAGCATGGTGAAGACCCAGCTGGGAAGTTGGAACCAGAATGTGAGGTTCACACAAGAGAAAGTTAAGACTCAAGTGTGGTCTTCCTGTATAACCTCCATAACAAAGCCCTAGGTAACCACACCAGACACCCAGAGGACCAGCTGTCCCCTCAGGCCAGATCCAAAGGCAGAAGGTGATTCCAAAGGCTCCAGAATTAGTTCCTGTCTACAGCCTCCAGGCATGGACCTACCTGTACCCATGCCCATCTCATCCCTTCCCCTTTCCCCAGCAGGACATCTGACATTACAGAACATCCCAGAGTAGAGAAGTAGGCAGAGTGGGCATGCTCACCAGTCTTTGACGAATGACTGGAAGTCCCCTGAGAAGCCCATATGACCAGGCAGGAGCGGGGGCTCTTCCTGTAGGACTTTGGTAAGGACCTCAAAGTCCGTCTTGCAGTTCTTATAGGGAAACTGTCCCGTTGCCAGCTCCACCTGGGAAGGTGACAGGCACTGCTGGAGCACCAGGTAAGAGATCCCTGCCTTCCCACCAAGCCCCAGAACGGGAGCCCCAACACACCAATGATATGCCCAGGCTCCACACATCGGCTCTGATGTCATAGTCAGGCTTGGTGGGGTCTGGGGGGTCAATGCGCTCAGGCTGCAAGGAGGGAAAGAAAGAGGATATAAAGAAAAGGCTGGCTGAGGGTAGGGCCAGCCCACCCAGTCCCCCTGTCAGATCCAGCAGGGCCCCACTCACAGCCATGTAGGCAGCACAGCCAGCACTCCGTGTTTTGGCCTTAGAGTCAACAAGGCGCCCACTGATGCCAAAGTCACAGAGCTTGATCTGGCCCCGCTCGTCTAGCAGAATGTTGGAGGGTTTGACATCACGATGGATGACACCATGCTTTTCCTTCAGATAGTACAGCGCCTTCACAATCTGTAGGACAGATTCAGGAACTTGTGGTGGGGGGCACTGATGACAGAACCCAGGGACAACTACCTAGTCACACAAGCCCAGACTTAGCCACTCACCGCCACAGTCATTTTGCCCAAGATTCGCTCCGGAATGGGGCCCTGCATTCGTTTCTTCAGTTTCTCTGCACATGTGCCCATGAGCTCCATGGCAATGAAGACATCTGTCTGTAGAGAAAGGGTGGCACACAGGGTTTGGGGCAGCCATGCTTTCCTCCCCAACCTAACCACAATCTGGTACCTGGGGACATGTAGGACCCTATGGGGCAGAAGGCTTGGCCCCTCAGGCAGGGTGCTCACGTTGGTGATGAAGGTGCCAAAGCACTGAACGATGTAGGGGCAGTCGTGGCTCTTGAGTACCACATCCAGGTCCATCAGGATACGCTTATTCTCTTCTTTGTTCCCCGAGCGCCGCATTTGCTGAAAGGAGGGACAGCCAGGAGGGGAGCTTCAAGTGCTGGGCAGGCTGCAAGGGTACAGGATACATCCTGGAACTGGGGTGTGGAAGGCTCACCTTGACAGCAATGATGTGGCCTGTCTTCCGGAAGCGCATCTTCCACACCTGACCACAGGTACCGCTGCCCATCTCGCCCAGGTTCTCCAAGTCATTGATTTCTGCCTGATAACGCTGGGTGAAGAGCAAGGCAGCTGGAGGGTCCCCAGAACCTCTGCTCCTGTCACCCAGCACCTCTAGCCTGCCTGGGTCCTGTCACAGCCCCCAGGATGCCAATGGGGAGGTAGTACCTGGCCTCCGATGGTCAGGTACCCTGTCTGCTTCATGATCTCCTGCAGCTTCTGGTCAATCTCGATGCTGAAGAACAAAGGGAGCTAGTCAGAAGGGTCCCACAGATGTCACCCACCTCCCAAGGACCAGCACAAGGAGGGCCCTGTGCTGGCCCTGCTCCGCCAGCTTACCTCTCCATACTGCGGGGTGTGAACAAGGTTGATGGGAGCCCCAGCATGTGGCGGGGCCGGGTGGGCGGTGTAGGGTGCTGTGGGGAGCTCTCTGAGGAGGGTGAGCGACTGCCCCCATCATTGGCCAGTGGGAGCTGGAGGGCTGGCGGGTTAAAAACCAGGGGCATGAAAGGAGTTAGAATCTAGCTGGTCAAGAAGGGGTTGGGGTTCTCATCTTCTCTCTCATATCCCTTTGGTCAGGCTGACACAGCCTCCTGTTCTGCTGGCTGGGGCCTCCTTGCCCACCCCCTGGGGTATCTTCAAGGTACCATCTCTGCCCCTTTGATCTGAAAGGAGATTGGATGGGCTGGTGGGAGAGGGGTGATCCCAGAAGCTGAAGGTTTGTCCTCAAGTACATACTGTAGAGAAATGGGGGGACTCTCTACCAGGAACTTCCCCCACCAGTGTCAGAAAGCAGGC